ATTTCAAGTTTGACTTTGCCTCAGAAATATTAATTGCTTCATAAATCTCTGTGTGAGTGTGTGTGTTTTATTTATTTTTAAAGTACTGATTTAAATACTGTTTAGGAACCGGTACCGTTTTGAAAGTATCGATTTAGCACCGGTATTGAAATAAACCCTTTCAATACCCAACCCTATCTGTTACATCCAGAAGGGAAACTTCACCAAAGTGAAACATAAATCTGTGGATCTGTGTTTCATTACTCTGCCTGGCTTTCTCAAGGACCAGGATGTGACACAAAAACCTGAATTATGAAAGTGAAAGTAGTCAAACTGAATTTTTAATAAACCAAAATACAGTTTTAAAGAAAATTAATTCAGTTTCTGTTTAGTGAAATTTATTTTCAAACCGATGCGTTCAGATTCACTTCCTGTTGGCACAGTATTGATCCCATACACTGTCTCTGTGCTGCCGCCTGCTTGTACCTGTTTGAGGTCGGTGTGTTGAGGAATCTCCATCAGCTCCATGTTCTGCTCCTGGGCCTGCACCGTGAACGCCTCCTTCAGGTCGTCTGTGGCGCAGCAGTCCAGGGGGACGGGCACCACCTGCAGCTGGAGGTGCTGGCTCCTGTAGTTCCTCTCGAACAGGACGCAGCGCTCGCCCCGGCTGCTGTAGAAGCTCCTCAGGGCCGACTTGTACTTCTCCATCTCCTGCAGCACCTCGGAGCTCAGCTCCACCACGGACTGGTAGTGGCCGATGGGCAGGATGAGGACGTGGCGGGGGATCAGCGGACCTTTAGCCAGCGCCAGGTAACACTGCAGGACGTCAGGTTCTCAGCGATGAAGTGTCGACAAACATGAAGGTGGTAAAACTAGAACTTACGTGAGTTCCTATACTGAACACCAGGTGTTTCTCCACCTGAGGAGAGGCCAGACAGAACCAGCAGGGCCCGCTGGGCTGAGCTGCAAGAAAACAAACGTTTAGTTTCTGTTGGTTTCGATTCAAAGCTCCAGCAGGATTAGAACTGACGGTGGCGCCGGGGCTGTTTGGGCTGCCAGTCTCGACTCCGCCCATCTCYGTCCGAGTGTCTCTTCCTGCCGTGGCCCTGAGAGGCTCCGCCCTGTTTCCCGCCCAGGTCGAAGAAGAACTGGTGGGCCGGCTCCTGCACAGACCAGGACGCTACAAGAGTCACATTAACTTAAACAGAATTATTCACGTTATTTAAGACAAAAACCAGACTTTTCTTTGTTCAATACACAAATACAGCTTTTTACTTTGCTTTAACCCTGGGGTCTGCAACCTGTGGCTCTGGGGCCACATGTGGCTCTTTGAAAATGTGACCAAACATAATGATTTTTTGTTGTTGTTTTTATAYTCACAACATCAATTTGTATGCAAATATGTGAGCAATCCTACAAATATAAAAAGTAAAACATTTTAGCTCACGTTAGCCTGTTTACTTAAATATTCAATTTTTTTCTATGATCTTTCTCTCAAATCCATCAGAATTACCTTTTAAATTATTTGAAGACTACATAATAAGAATTAGAAAAAAGTTTGTCTGAATAAATCCATTATACTAGTTTTTATGAAATTTGGTTTAAACTTTATATGGTATTTTTCTTCTTTACATGAAAATGTTCTTTTTACTGTCCTGATGTGTATAATAA